ATTTATAATTTATATATACATAAAATTTCAAATTTTTAGAATTGATTATTGAAGTATATATAATTTTCAGAATTGGTCTAAGGACATTTTGGTTATTTAGAAAAAACTAAATAGTTTACATATGTAATTTTATAAATAATAAGGACAGTTGGCGTAACGTTTTTCATAATTATCTTTAAATTACGATATTTTACAAACAATAAAGACCAATTATTTTGTCTTTTAAAAATATTCATTTTATTTTACAAACTTATTACGAACCATATATAAATACTTTGAAAATACTAGTACATCAATACACATTGAGAGAGAGATTTTAGATTTTAGACAGAGGGTAGGTTGGAAGGAGGGTGACTGTCAAATCTCCATATTCTCTCTCTCTAAAATTCATAACTCTTTCTCTTTCTCTCTCCATCTTTTTTTTTTTTCTGTTTCTTCTCTCTTCAATCCCTCTCCCTGAATATAATGCTCCCAGATTTTCAAGGTACGTATTATATTTATTATCACTGATGACAAAAATTTATGATTCTATGATTGTTTCAAACTTTTCTTCAGCTTCCCAGTTAATGGATTCTCTTCTAATCTTTGATCTCATCGACCATGCGTAATTCATTCTTTTTTTTTTTTAATTAGTTCTTCTAGATACAGTGTTCTTACTGTAGTTATGGATTTTGTTTTGTTTTCTTGCTTTTTTCCAAAAAAAATATTATCATGATTTAAGAGTTTCCCTTGAAGATCTTCAAGTGGGTTTCGTTTTTATGGTCTCCGATGAGTCTCGATTGCTTCGTTTCTTTTCTTTTTTTCGTTTTTTGTGTGAATTTAATTCCTAGTTTTGTTCTTGTTGGATCTTTCAAACTTAGCCCAGAATTTAAGCAAACTCCTTTTTTTATTTTTCCTAAATTTGTGATAATGGGATTCGTATTTCACATAGTCTTTCACATTCAGTATGTGTAAGATATGATGTATGCATGGTTTAAAAGGTCTGAAATAGTATCCGTTTTGGTGTTTATGTTCATTATTTTTGATTCTTGAGATTCTTCTTTTTTGAAAACTCAGAGTTATTAGCCCTTTTGGTGGGTGTTTATTACTCAGTACATATGGAAAAAGCTTTTCCCCTTTATGGAAATGAGATCTCCTTTTTTACATCTCATCATACACCAAATAATAACTTCAAAATAACATTGAATTATTAGTGTAATAACCCAAAACAATCAATACTTAAAACCCAAATTCTACAATAATTTCCACATTCTGTGTTCTTCCAAAAAAAAAGAACCCCAAATGGGTGTCATGATTTTCTTGTTTCAGAATCAGAACTTGTCTCTTATGCTCAAAATTCCCCTATTTTTATAATAATTTTCCCCCAAATCTTATCATGTCTTTTGTCTGGCCGTATTCTTAACATAACCAAACTGCAATATTTAATTCAATAAATAAAGTTTTTTTTTTTAATGTTTTTTAAAAGGATAAAATTACTAACCCTAAACAGCTCATACATTTTGTGTACAGATTGGAGTTGATTTCAGAGCTTCAATGGAGGGTAATGGAGGGGCTCAATTGGATGGGAAGGTTTTGCAGACATTTCAAAAGAGTTTCGTTCAAGTTCAAAACATTTTGGATCATAACAGGGTGTTGATCAACGAGATTAATCAGAATCACGAGTCGAAGATCCCTGATAATCTGAGTAGAAATGTGAGTTTGATCCGAGAATTAAACAACAATATAAAGAAAGTTGTTGATCTTTACTCTGATCTTTCGTCAAATTTTTCAAGATCGATTGATGTTAATTCATCTGAAGGGGATTCAAGATCAGATGGAAAAGGTTTGCAGAAGAGAACGAGGCCTGGTTAGATGATGAACTTTCTCTTGTTCTTCGATTTTCTGTTCTTGAATTCTTTTTGCATTGTGGAAAAAAAGAAAAAAAGAAAAAGAGAGAGATGAAAATTGGGCTCCATTTGTTTGTTTAATAGAGGAGTATATTATTAATTGTTATTAATTAAATTAGATTGTGTAACTCTTTGTTATTTAGTACTACTTTTGAGAAATTTAAGAATAACCTTTGTAAATCTTTCAATCTAATTGGAATCAAGTTCGTCTTTTTGACTAAATTCTATGTTTTATTGGTTGATATTTGTATACATTTTTAATGCATGATGTACAAGCTATAACTTGTCGAGATTTAGCTTTCAAGTTTTTGAAAATCTCCAAGAATCTAACATTCGACACTTATTAGTTGTTATCATTATGGGTCTGGATTCTTTGATTTTTGCTACGTCAATATAATAAAATGTGTACCATGGACAAATATGTTTGCATGTTGAAAAGCTTATTTGCATATTCGGGAGAGATTTTTTTTTAATAAATATTTACCTTTTAAACAAAAACTCGATTTAAAGAAAAAAAAAGAATTGTAGGGGAGTTTGAGCGAAAACGTAAAGCATCTTTATTGTTAGCTTTTATAAAAAAATTTATTATTTGGAAAACATTTTGTTTTTTTACTATTGGAGTTCGAAAACCTATTGAAAACTTTATTAAGAGGGTGTTTGGATAGGAAAAAAAAGTTGTTTATTGCTTATTGCTTATTCCCACCACAATAAGCTAAATTTAAGTGTTTGAATATGAATCCTTAAAAATCAACTTATTGTGGTAAGAATTAGCTAAATAAGCTGATTTTAATAAGCATTCCCCCAATTGCTTATTGCTTATTGTTTATTCCCACCACAAACATTTTTGCAAAAACTGCTTATTTCCACCGCAATAAACTAATAAACAATAAGCTAATAAACTATAAACTAATTTATCCAAACACCCTCTAAACTCTAACATTTTAATTATCGTATAAGTTTTATCTATTTTGATCTTTATATTTCAGAACAAATTATTTTACACCCTAGTAATATTTAAGTAATATTTATTATATAATCGATTTTATTAATTATACAAAATGGATTTGATTACTTTTCTAGAAATTTATATCATTAAAAAATAATTATTAAAACTTCCAAAATGATACAAATAGCAGTTATTAAAAAAATATTACCGTAACATACTATCTAATCGTTTTTATTAAGTGAATTACTAATATCAACTAATGTTATTTTTCAAAATATTACCTAGATTAAAATTAAAAAAAAAATTTATATGAAGTAGTTTATATAACACACATGAAAGATAAAGACAAATTAGTTAATTTTAAAAAAAATTTAACAGTTTGTAAAAATAGTTTTTTACGCGTAAATGTTGGTGAAAATGCTTCTACATAAATAAAATCTACATCTTTAAGCTTTAAACTAATAACTAGTTTTTCAAACATACCCTGCATATATGTTTGACAAAATAGATAGTAGTCGGAAACTAATAGTTGAAAGTTGTACCTTTTATTTGTAAAAAAATTATCTGCATACAACTTGAAAAACTTTAAAAATGTAAAATTATATGAATACAAAAAATTAAAAGCTCCTAAGAGTTATTTGAAATAACTTTTGGATTATGAACTTTTTATTTAAAATAAAAGTTTTAAGTTTCTACTCCTAAATGATTTCTTTTTAAAAAAACTAAACTTTAAAACATGTTAAAAACTCGCTGCCAAATATACCATAAGTAAAAAACCCGTAAATAAATGAATATATCCATTGGAACCAAAATGAACATATTGATAATATTCTTTTTTGTTGTTTGAAATTTTTGTAATATGTAATTTTATACTAAGATTATAATATATTTCAGTTAACTACAAAAAAAAAATCAAAATGTGGATGATTGTATACTTTAGCCTATCCGTAGATTATGATTATATTAGTATCTTAAACCCAACATAATTTTTTTTTTCATATTTTTTAGACGATTTTACTTCAACTCAATGTCACTTCTTGCACCATTTGGATTATGATTATATTAGTATCTTAAACCCAACATAAAATTCTAATTTTTTTTAATAATTTTTAGATGATTTTACTTGAACTCAATATCACTTATACCAAATGATTCATTTGGTATAATGTAAATATTATAATACCAAACATGCATCATTATATTATCTATTTACATCAAAATATTGCTAAACTTTAATAATAATTTTGGTTGTTTAAATTGTTTAATTAAAAATATATATTTTAATTTTTTAAATGTATTAATTATTTTTATAATGTTATATTATATATTAAATTGATATTCGTTAACCAGACATATATTAAATATAATTTTTATTTTTTATATTAATTATTTTATTTAATAAATGTTGCTTTAAATGAAACAAACTAATTATATATGAATAATCAATTTAGTTAAAACTATGTAATAATAAATTTTATAAAAATTATTGAAACAAAAGTATAAATCAGATTTATAAAAGCTAATAAATATAATGATGATTTGAAAAAAACTAATTTGTAAAATCATATTTAAAAAAGATAAATTTTATAAAAATTATTGAAATAAAAGTATAAATCAGATTTATAAAAGCTAATAAATATAATGATGATTTGAAAAAAAACTAATTTGTAAAATCATATTTAAAAAAGATATATAAAATCATATTTATAAAATTTATGATTTTTCATTATCTTTAAATAAAGATGTGTATTTATATATACAAAAAACAAATATTTTGATTTTTTTTTTACTTTAACTTATGCTTATATTATTATACCATTTCACTCTTCACCCTCAGGCTTTTCACCCTTCTTTCGAACCCCCCCCCCCCCCCCCTCCTCAAGAACTCCATCTACTTTATAACTCTTAATAAACCACTATTAATTTGTTACTTTCTTACTGTTGTCGCTGTTGCAAGAGCTGGAAGGGATCGTCAGAAGGGACACTGATGTTGTTAGTTATAGGGTGGACGTCAGTTGAATTTTATCCTGGATCCACCACTGCATAACGATATATAAAAAATAGTTTTTTTTTTTCAATTTTTATATTCATATTATCATTTGGATCTTTAAGTGTATCAAATTTTTATTGAAAAAAATCATATATGAATAGTTATTATAAATGATCTAATTTTAACTGTATCAACTGTGAATTTATTCAAATTCACATGTAAATGATCAAGAATTGTTGGAAAAAGCGAGTACAAAAAGCATTCAATTATTCACATGTGATTTTTTTTATAAAAAAGTTTATAAAGTTAAAGATTCATAGGAAATTCTAAATAAAAGTTTAAAAAATCATTTTTTATATATCGATATGAATGTTATTTATAAAGTAGCAATAAATATGAATTTGATATTTTTATTAATTTTTAAAATAAACCATAATTATTAAAAAAACATAGAAAAAAGTTTTTTTTAAAAAAAAATCG